AGCAGCATACCACTTTACAATAATACCTTCTCGTTACAAATGTCGAAACAGACAATCGCGTTGAGAGCCTATTCTCGATCCGTATAAGGTGCTTTTCGTCGATTCTTTTCTTCGCAACTAAGATACTAGTACACGATCATTTTAAATCGTTGGGTACCGAGTATTGTTCTCGACATTTGGCACGGGTCGATAACCTGAACAATCAACTTGATGTTAAAAAAAAATGTTAGATATTAAACTACGGTAGTTTATCCTATTAAGTGTTTATCTTTTTATTTTCAAATTGTTTTCTTCGAGAGAATTCATAATTCATCATTAATTAATATGCTGTATCAGACTTTAGGTGTGATGTTAAAAATATTCTAATAGGTAGTTATAGGTTAATGGCCAATATTAACTCTACATAAAAAGTTGTTTACCTGTGCCGTAGCACGAGAAGAGTCTCTTCCAATTCTCGTATTATTATTCACGGTTATTACTTCTGGACCTTCTGCTCAGACAATTATTATTATTCGTCGGATCACTGTTTGGTGCGGAGCGAAGTGCCTCTTACGAGTCCTACTCCACCTCGTTCTACGGGTAGACGTCGCATTTGGCACTACAGGTCGGCAGATTGGGAAGATGCGGATTTTTTTCGCATCTTACCCATGCAGGTTTGTGGATGATCCCGACGCCATTGCCGATTCCATTGCTGATGTGGTGCTTCAGGGAATGGAATTATTTATTCCTAACTCTGTGGTGCCCGTCGGCGGGAAATCCCAGCCCTGGTATGGAGCCTCCTGTAGAACAGCATCTCGTCTGAAACAGGAGTGCTTTAACTGGGCTTCGCGAGATCCTAACACCAGTGCTCTTAAAAGAAATAACTCTGTAGGTCTTTCAAAAGAGTTATAGCCACAGCGAAGTCAGAGCATATTAGTAGAATTGGCAAGAGACTGGCTAGTTTGCCCTCTGGGACTCGAGCTTTCTGGTCTCTTGCCAAAGCTGCACAAGGGAATTTCTGTAAGTCATCTTTTCCACCTTTGCGCAGGGAGGATGACTCGTTGGCCCAGAACGCTAAAGAAAAGGCCGATCTTCTTGGATCCATCTTTGCGTCAAACTCGACATTGGATGACGGGGAGAAACCACCACCGACCATCACGTGTTGTAGGAGCTCTATGCCTGACATTCGCATAGCTCAGTGCGTAAGCACTTTTCTCCCTCGAAATCCATAAGTCGAGTGGGCCTGATGGTATTCCTCCAATTGTGCTTAGGACGTGCGCACCAGAGTTGGCTCCGGTTCTTACGCGTCTTTTTTACTCATCGGGCATAGTCCCAAAGTTTTGGAAGACTGCTCTGGTGCATCCGATCCCTAATAAGGGAGATCGCTCAGATCCAGCTAACTATAGGCCCATAGCTATCACTTCCTTATTCTCGAAGGTTATGGAATCCATCATTAACCGTCAACTGCTCCGGTACCTAGAAGAGCACCGGCTGATCTGTGATCGCCAGTATGGCTTTCGACAGGGACGTTCGGCCGGTGATCTTTTAGCTTACTTAACACACCGATGGGCAGTGGCAATCGAGAGTAAGGGAGAGGCCTTAGCAGTTAGTCTGGATATTGCGAAGGCCTTTGATCGGGTGTTAGAGCGCTCTTTCAAAGCTACCTTCATTTGGGTTGCCTGCGAGACTGTGCATTTGGGTCGCCAGTTTTCTCAAGGAACGTAGCATTTCGTAGTCGACGGTGCATGCTCTGATTTAAAAGAATGCTGGTGTCCCGCAAGGCTGTGTATATCTCCGACTCTGTTTCTTCTGCGTATCAATGATATGTTACAGATTAATATTCATTGCTATGCGGACGACAGTACAGGAGATACATTATATACCGGTCATTCAAGGATGTAGCGGGCCCATACCGATGAGTGCCGGAATAGTTGTCTGAAATCGAAACTTCACTCCATCAAGTTTCGATCTGGGGTGAACAAAATCTTGTCCAATTTAACCCTAAGAAGACACAAGTCTGCGCGTTTACCGCAAAAAAGACGCCGTTTGTCGTATCTCCTCACTTTCAGGGCACTTCCCTTGATAAAAAGTCGAGTCTAGGAATTCTGGGCGTTGATATATCTTGCGACGTCCAGTTTTGCGGTCATCTGGAGGAGAAGGCTAAGATAGCTTCCAAAAAGTTAGGAGTGCTCAATAGGGTGAGACGATATTTCATGCCAGAACACCGCCTGAAATTATATAAAGCCCAAGTCAGGCCGCATATGGAATACTGTTCTCACCTGTGGGTAGGAGCGCCACAGTACCAACTCCTTCCGTTAGACCGCATTCAAAGTCGGGCGGCTCGAATTATCGATAGTCAACGCCTTACTGTCCGACTTGACCCATTGAAACTGCGCAGAGATGTTGCGTCTCTGTGCATCTTCTACCGAATTTATCATGGGGAGTGTTCTGAGGAATTGTTCGGATTGATACCTGCTGCTGATTTTCACCACCGTACAACCCGCCACAAACTAAAGTTTCATCCCAATCATCTGGACGAGTGGCGGTCTTCCACCGTGCGTTTTTCAAGGCACTTTCTTCCACGCACAACCATTCTTTGGAATCAACTTCCAGCAGCAGTATTTCCGAACCGATACGACAACATAACCTTCAAGAAAAGAGTATATTCCTTTTTAAAAGGCCGGCAGCACACCTGCAATGCCGCTGGTGTTGTGGGTGATCATGGGCGGCGGTAGTCACTTACCATCAGGTGAGCCGCATGCTCGTTTGCCCCCTGTTGTAAAAAAAAAAAAAAAAAACTTACAAAACACGTGCAGTTTGTTTAATCATATTTATTAAGTTAACGGCTTCGCCTCTTTGAATATGTATAGATCGAAAGCAGGCATAAATAATAGTGATCGTAAGTCCTAGCGCATGATACGAGTAACATTTTGTGTTTGTTTGGTGGTTGCTGTCAGATATAAATCTCCGCAGATCACGAGGTCGTTAATGTGATAGTCGTGTCGGCGCCGCCTGAGATACTTACCGTTACACTATTGTTGATTCAAATACATTGAGCTTTCTTATTTGTCTGATTCAATTCTATAATTTAAAGTACGTGATTTAAAGTAGAATATTCTACACCCTATAATTGGTCAGGGCTATAGAAATTAGGTTGTTGCTCAAGTTTGCTAATAACATTTCATAATTATTGTTTAAATTATTAAAGTTTGAAGCAAAATGCAGTATCAGTACTCGCCATAATTTACAAAAAGTGTAGTTTTGTATAAAAAAATGTGGCTACTACCACCGCAAACATCGTCTATGGGGTTGTTTCCGTAGTACCCATTTGATATGCGAGTGGTGATAAGGTAGGCCGCCACACGACACTTGCTAAACCCCTTCCAGTGGCGAGGGTTGCTCGCCCTTCCGTCTTATTGATTAACACCCTCGGAATCAGCTTTATAGTAAAACAACACGCGCCATCATTACTTGTTATTAATAGTGTATAAAGTATTGCAGTGAATAGGTCCACTGCAATACTTTATAACACTATTCATTTACGATGCACTGTGCAAATTACCTAGGTTCAAATAAAATATTAATTGTACTGGAACCTTCCTGAAAATGTAATATTTACTGATTACCAAGAGAAAACTAACTAGTTCCCTATCAGTTGGTCTACATCCAACTGCCGGAGTGTCAAAGATGCTGCGGAATGTTTTTCGTATATATGTATGTAGTGTCATTTTTGTAATGTAATTTTACAATTACAATCGCTGGCTGGAGCTGGAACGATTTTAATAATTTGAAATTATTATCTTAGTCTCAGTAACAGTTTGAGAGTACTAATATGGAAAACTGTCAACTCTAAAGGATTTTCTATCCTTTACTAATTCGGAGAACATTTTAAATAGAGACATCGATAGTTACAATCATCAGGAAATTATAAGGTCATTTGTTACACAAAAACCTTGCTCAAAGTAATTGTTGCGATTATTTTGTGTAATTTAAATGTGTTGTAAATCCCTTGTATTTATTGTGCTATCGAGAGTCGTGAGTTGTGCATTAATTCTTGAAAAGGCAATCGAAATCTAGAAGGACAAATAAATGCTCACATGCTCTACATTTTTATTGTTAGCATAATATTTATTTGTCTTTAGATTAATTAATTACATCAATAGTGTACAGTCACATTTATATTGGGATATTTAATTTTTGGTAATGCTTAATTAGGTAATATGTAAATAAGTAATAATTCGTATCTTTTAGCCTTGCTACTAATCGTAAAATTTTATATGTTCTCTATGAGATATGAATAGCTAGTTACAAGTGTAGAGAAGTATTGCGGTCAGTGAGGGACGTTTGCGACACTCCGCTGTCGGTTGCGCCAAATCAATCATGAGACACTAAATGCATCTCGTTGTGTCAGTGTTGCACTTATTTCTGAAGCAATCGCATGTTATAATATAGGTAATTTGAACTTAGAACGTATATTGGTGTTGGCTTTTTACTTTTAACTTTATTTAACTCTAATATTAAACCTACATATTTAAGAATAAAAAATAATAAATATTATGTAATAAAAATATAAGCCAGTGTGGTTCCGGTATAGATGGGCCACCCCTTCTTTTTCCGTGGGTTTCGTAAGAAGCGGACTAAGGAATTTAATGGTCGAGACGTCACCAAAACCTGACTGTGGTTATCAACCCGCCTGCCAAGGGTGACTACTGGCAAAATTCTATGCTCAACAGTGGGCCAGTTAACGGCTGATATGATGATGATGATATAAAATCCTGTGTCACGATGTTCGTTCACGTTGATTATCGAAATCGCTCATCAACAATTTTAATTAAATATTTTAAATATGCATTGTTTATTTCAACTTAGAGATAGGATAGTTTTTTTTGCGAAAAAAATAAATGTACCCTGTGGGTGGCAAATGATGCAAAATAACTTTCCTTGTCAGGTAGTAATATTTATACCAATAATACCTACTTTAAATATAATCTACTATATGTATGTATGTATATTTCTTGCAGTTTCCATCTCCTGTCGCCGAAAGCGTTGCTTGTGGCAGTAGTACGTCATCATCGACATCCTCGTCGTCTTCTTCATCATCGTCGTCGTCTTCCTCGTCGTCTGACTCTGATACCGCGGATGCCGCTGGTGGTTCTGCACACGCCTCTGCAGATGACTCTAGTGCTGCACTTGCAGCTGTTTGCCAACTACAGGTCTGCATTATTTATTATTAATTTATAATTAATTTATTTAGTAACTATGCATGCAGTTTCACTCGTAGTCCGAGTTGATAAAAAAAAATTCATCCCATCGGAAACCATACTCCGTGATAAATGCTATGTGTACGCCAATTTTTATGATAATGAGCCGTGAAAGCAACAAGAAGCAAGCTTTTCTTATTAATGCTAATAAATATCAGGAGTGGCGTGTCCAGTTAAAACATTTCTTAATATTTTTTTTAGGTTATCGACGATGCGGACCTCGCCGAATTATTTCCAGAACAAACATCTGGTGCATCGGCGCAACAGTCTAATTTTACAAACTTCTCTGTGCACAATGCATCACCTGAAAATGATGACAAGTCTATTGCCGACAATGGTGAGTACAGACCAAAAAATCGAATATTATCAAATATGCTATGGATTTCATATGACACTTAAATTATTGTGTTTTACAGGCGATGGTTCGAGTAGTGAAATGGAACTCACTCCTCAGTTAGTGACAGCTGCCATCCAGAGGGCAACAGCAGATTCGTCCGGCTCAGAAAATGAGTGTTCTAACTCAGAAGTTGGACATCAAAACACTACTCACTATGCATCTAGTCTATTGCAACAATTCGAAGCACAAACGCAACTCCTAAGTAGTACAACACCTTTAGCAAATATCAACTCTTCTGCAGCATCTACAATGAACTGCGGACTAAATTCAGATCCTATAGATGGTGTTGGAACAATAAATGATTGTGTACTTGGACAGATAAATAATTTGCCTGAAATTGCTCCAATCACGCCAAACTTTTTAACTACCAGTCAACATTTGAGTCCACAGCAAACCGAAGAACTTTCCCAAATAAATAAAGATCTCGAAGAAATTACATCTGTTACAGAGGGTATATCAATACCAAATCCAAGTTTAGAAGATTGTGTTGATAATAATGATTTCATGAACTTGGATATAACACAGGCTGGTTCTGATTTAGGAAATGCAAACGATTTGTTAAAAAGTTCTCCATTAACTGTGAGCAGCACTGATATGGTTAGTCATCAAATCGATAGCCAAAAACTAGATACTATCAGTACCAATTCAATTGAATCTCAGGAAGATGTTAAAAATGTAATTGTAGAATCAAGACGGAAAAGAGGGAGACCGCGAAAAGTGAAAAAAGTTGATGAGGACTTTAGTTCTAAAAATATGGAATCTCAGAAAGAAGATAAATCTGTTGTAAATGTAATTAATTTTCATAATAATAACGATCCACCGAATGTATCACCAGATTCTGGCATCTTATCAAATCATAATTCACCTACACAATCCCCAATGCGACGACATGACGAAGATGATACTCACAACAATAGACTAGCTAGAAAATCTATTCAAAAAGAAAATAATACAAGAGAAAGAAGAGCTGTAAGATCAAAATCTAAAAGCAAAAGTAGAATTCAAAATAGATCTGATTCAAGCGATTGTGATTATCAGAAAAAGAGATTAGAAAATGAAGTTAAACACATAAAAACCGAAGCACCTTCACCAGTTCCATTAAAACAGGAGCAAAATAAATATGATAAATCAAAGAAAAACGATCAAAAATTAGATATCGCTGCTTTAGATAGAATGTTATATGCAACTGATAGAGTTTTGTATCCACCTAGAAAAAAAGTCGGCCGTAAACCACAAATTAAAACGAAAGCAGCTACTAAAACAACACCTAAAACTCTGAAAGATAAAAATCAATATGATTCTGGAGACAGTGACGAAGATTCTATGCCATCTAATGGATCTGTTTTATCAGGAGTGTATGCTAAAAGAAAAGAAGTAAATAGTAAATTAGCAAATTTGCCCAAAAAGAATGCAAAAACATTTACTAATACATGGAGAGAAAATCAGAGTGAAAACGAGGCTGCAGCAGATGATCCACTTGATCCTACATGGAAACAGATTGACCTTAATCCGAAATACAAAGATATTTTATCTGGGTATAAAAGTGATCACGAATTTAAGCCTTATAAAAGCTGTAGTCGATTAATAGAGTCAGGTTATAAAAGTGATTATGGGTGCAGATCTGGTTACAAAAGTGATTATTATCGCTCTGGTTATAAAAGTGATCACAAGTCTGGTTATAAAAGCGATAAATCGGGATACAAAACGGATTATAGCGTACGAAGTATGCGACGGCGCATGCGAAAGTTAAAGAAAACTAGATCAGTACGAGATAGATCATATTATAAAAACCAAAAACATTTTGTATCCGATCAGGAAATTTTACTGATAACAAATAAAACATTCAGTAGCTTAACTTTGGGACATAGTTCGAGTGATTCTGAATGTGAAAGTTATTTGCGAAAACCCAGTGCTAGCCCAAAATATGTAAGTGTTTGCACTAAATATCCATTGCCATCGAAATATGATTTTGGGTTTACAAAAACGCAGAGAAAACAAGTGTTACGATTGAATTCGTCAGATCCATTCGCGCCGGGACCCGTATTCAGTGGACTGCAGCGACCAGTCACAACATACAACATTTTTAAAGTTAGTCACAATAATAATAATACTTTACTTAAATCTCCTACAAAGGCTAGTTACATTGGAAGTCCATTACCAGCCTTAAAACCTGTCTTCACTCATAAATTTGGTTCATCTCCAATTTGTACTATTGCCAAACTATCAGGATCAAAGAAAGACAATGAATCCAATTCTAGACATCTTACTAGAAATTTGTCTCCAAAAAATCGCAAACAGTCAAAGAATGGAAGTACAGTATTTTCTGGTTCTGCTAAAAAAGAAAATATTCTAAAACCACTTCCAAGTATTTTTGAAAAAGCAAAAAATAGTTATATTCCGCATAAGTCATTATCAAGAAATGTTTTCTTAAATTTCAAGAAACCTCATATAAAGCCGACCTTTCATATTAAAAGACATAGAAGGACAGTAGTATTAGCTCCACCAAAAATTAATTTAAAGCCTGTTGAAAGGCCCTCGCGAATTACAGTGAAGACAGAGAATAAACATCATAGGCACAGAAGCAAAAGACGACATCGTTCAAGATCAGTATCTAAATGTCGAGAGTCTTATACTAAAGTTATAGATTCAGTAGATCAGAAATTTAGTCAAGATATGGATAATTTAGTTTCAAATTTTATCAAAATATGTCAGATTGCGCCAAAAATTATTACTAACGTAGCGCAAAATCAAACAAAAAATGTAGAAAAACCAGTAACTGAGAGTTTGTCAACCAAAGTGGTAAAAAGAGGGTCGAAAAAACGTAAGACTTCAGATAATCAAGAAATTGCCACCCCCACTTCAAAACGAAGACACAAAAAACAATTAACAGAATCTCAAAGTAAAGGAGGCAAAGATACAAATGAGCATAAATTACCGCTTAAAAAGAGACACTATCATATTAATTCTTCTACCAGCAATAGTTTGAGTCTTAGTTTAGTTACTGCTGAATTTGATGAGAATTCCAAGTATGAAAGCAATCCAGAAAATTGTTTATGTACTGAAACGGATTGTATGGGAGAAATGCCTAACAATTTGTCTAATGAATCTCCCAAATCGAAAAATTCACACGAGAAAAGTAAAAAAGTTGCCGAAAATTCAAAAGCCAATGGTCAAGTAAACAGTGCTGATGTAAAAAATAATGATGTTAATAAAACAAAACCTAACCTAGTGACAATAACAGAATCAGTAAAGGTTGCTGAAAGTGTGACCAGTGCTGTCACTACTAAACATCAATCTCCTAATCGCCATAATACAACTGATGATGAATCGTGTAATAAAAAGCGGTCAACAGAGCAATCAGAATTATCTAAAAAAATATTCGAAACATCTGAAAAACTAAAAGCTGTTGATAAAATGGTGCAGGATTTAGAGAAGTCATTGCCAAAATCAAAAGAGATTGATATTAAGGTAGAGATATCAAAACAAGATGCACATAAAGTGTCATCACCAAAATCTGAAGCAAAATTATCGCCAATGAGAAATTCTGCACCAATAGTTACTCCTAAGAAAAGGCATAGGTTAGAAGCAGATAAAGTTATGACACATTCAAGCTTAGATCAAGTGGTACAATCATTATCTAAAAAATTATCCGAAGAAAAACCTAGTAACATAGTTAATAATAAAGACAACAGCACTAATAGTAACATTAAAGGAGATTCTAAAGAATCTGAAACTCCTAATACAGTATCATCCAATACCCTTTTACCTGTTAGTAGCAACACTGCTACCGTCGATCCCTTAAAAAGTATGTCTGCGCGGTCTTTGTACAAAAGTGCTATACCTCCAGCACAAAAATCGGAAATAATGACTCGAAAGAAAAATAGATTAGAGGGACTGACTAGTAATTTAGTTTCAAAAATTAATCCAAGTGCAGCTACAAAAGTTTTGGATACTTTACTTAATAACAATATACGAAAATCTATAGAATCGCGTATACTGGAAAAAGAAAAGTCAAATGCAGATACAGGTAATAAAATATCTGACGATAAAAATAAAAACAAAGATAATGCCCAGATTAATACAAGAGCTACTGTTATCAAATCTCCTGTTTCCAAAGGTAAAGTTCTTGAAACTAAAAAGTCAAAAGCACCTGAGCTTCAACCAATTATAGAGCAGGCTGTTGTGGTTAATATAGATAAACCAACAGGTATATTTGAGCCATCAGTGGATTTAGAAGATCAAATACCTAAATCGTCTATTTGTGTAAATAATATTTTATCTGATGCAAATAAAATTAAAGGAAAGTCAAAATCCAGTGATAATAAATCCTCAAATGCGTTATTGACGCCAATTGATACAGAAGGTGACATTCCACTAGCGTTGATATCAGAGACACCTGATCCTATCATAAGGCCTAAAAGAGGAGAATCCATTGCTGCCGTGTTATCCGACAAAATCCAAGAAACATCTGGAGGGCATAATTTAAGACAACCAAAAAGAAATTTAAGTAATGAAAATGACGATGGAAGTGACAACAAAAAGAAAAAGAAACTAAACAATATTATAAGAGAAAGTAAATTAGTTCTACCTACAAAAATGTTGATTCCTAAAATCCAAGCTGAAAGACTCTCAATTGGAGATGCAAATAAAAAAGTGCTAAAGCCAGAAACTAATGTACTGATGAAAAAACCTGATATCAATGAGAATTTAAGTGATAATAAATCTATTGATTCGTCAAAGAAGAAGACCAGACGCCGAAAGGCTATCAATAGAACAGGTTTTCCAAGTATTAAAAAGAAGAAGAAAAAAGTCGAACAAAGTGTTACTTCTGATAGTCATTTTACATCGGAAGACACAGATAATAACTCTGCGTTTGAAAGGGTGCCAAAAGATGGTGAAGCTATGAGTAGTTTCTTAGAGCGAACTACAAATAAAAAACCTGAACTCAAAGTAGTGCTTAATAAAGAAGAGTGTCCAAAACAAGGTCGTTTAACAGTAGTGGCTCTCGAGAAATTACAGGGTAAAGAAATTGTGAAAGATAATAATAATAAATCAACTAATAAGTCTGAGAATAAAGGTACTGAGAAAAAAATTAATAATTCATCTATTTTGAGAGCACCTGCATTGCAATTAAAGAATAAATTAGAAAAAGACCCTAAAAACCATGTGAATAAATGGGAAGTGCTAAGTGAAACTGATAGTATTCCATCTTTGGCTAGTTCCATTAGTAATGACCCTGAGGATAGTATACCGTTAAGTTTATTAAATATAAAATCTGACAGACCAGGAAGTCGTTTGGATAACCTTGAAAGGTTAAAACGTAAAACTAGGGCGATGTCACCGTCACAAGAGATAGAAGAAATATTTTCAAAACGTAAAGTTGTTGAACGGAATAGCAAAGTTGCTTTGCGACCTAAGTCTAGTTTAGCTATATTATGTCCAAGCGAAAGAAGAATGACTAGAAGTTCAGATATTGCTATAGATGAAGTAAAAATTAAGAATAAAAAGGTGGAAAACAAGAAATCGACGATAGAGCCCACATTTGAAAAATCTATTAAACCTGATAGCATTGCCACAAGAAGGAAGTCTCGTTCTTGTCAAGTAAATAAAAAAGTGCGTGAAGTACATTCAAGTTCGCGTGATAGTTCTTTGGACACTATCGTAAGTCGTAAATTAATATCGAAATCTCGTGAACCATCCGTAGATACGCTCCGTGATCATGATGAAAATGATCCCTTGCCACTCAACGAGAAAGAGATAGACTTTGAAAAAAGTATAGATATACTATCAAAGAATATAATTTGTAAGAAACGAGTCGCTTCCTCTCGTGATGATAGCCCAGCCAGCAGTGTAGATAACAGAGAGAAACCTATTGTGTCTAAAAGAAATCCGCGACTCAGAAAAAAGTTTTTGGTCGCAGGTCTCTTCTCTGATTATTACAAAGAAGAGTAAGTATTGATTTTAATTTTTTTTTTCATTAGCATATATTCTTTATTGCACTTTCGTAATGCTGGACATTAAATTGATAATTTTTTTGAAGCCTATGCAGTAAGAAATAATTTAACGTCATAATGACATATAAATACTAATATGTAAAATGTTCTAGAATAGATCTAGATCTTTAAGATACCATCTCCCTACCCTTATCCCAATTATTATTTGGGGTCGGCGTAATATGGTTTTATCCATATTACTAAAGGATTTGGCTTATAGTTTTACGACCGGCCGCCTGACGTCATCCCTCTTTGGGATAGATCTAAATCTTTAATATACAAAGGTGTATATGTATTATGAATATCTTTTAGCCCAAAACCAGATGGGAAGGGGAAGAATCTGGTGACACAAACGGAGTTTCCGCCTGGATTGCTGGCACCACCGCCTTACTGCGAACGTTGGGTACGACGCAGATTGATACATTTCACGTTGCCTTATGATATTTGGTGGCAGCAACATTACAATCAACCTGTACCATCCTGGAATTACAAGAAAATTCGTACAAGTAAGTCGGTTTTATTATTTATTATTTTTTAGCTGTGATGGACAAAATCAAAAATGTTGCAAGTTTGAAACTTATATGTGGTATTATAGGAGAGAATATTTGTTACGATTGATTAACAGGAAAATTGTCTTAAATTTTAATATCTTAAAAAAAAAAAAAAAACATGAAACATATTACATAGCGCCGTCTAGTCCCAGACTAAACAGTATGTACTTGTCTTATATTATGTGTAATGGACAACTGATAAACATACTTTGTTTTTTTTTTTTGTGAAAATTATTATATCATACCAATATATATAGGTCAAACAACCAGAATGAAGTGAGCATTATAAATCGTGTCTTATAAACAATTAATAATTGAAGACAATTGTTTGTTTATAGAGCCAATTGTGAACCAATTTTGATGACGAGGAGCTAGGGTTTATTATGTTTATTCCATAATTAATTTGTCACTTTTTTATAAAGACTATTATTGTTCTAATCTATATCTTGTTTCATTAAATTCTAATTGTACTTTCTAGATGTATATTACGATGTGAAACCGTCTACCGAGGAGTGCGAGAGTGTTGCGTGTAATTGTGCTCCATCATCGGGCTGCAATGAGGATTGTATCAATAGACTTGTCTTCTCTGAATGTTCTCCCCAGCTGTGTCCGTGTGGGTGAGTATAATAACATATTTATTATATTGAGACATGTCATATAGTATTTAAACTAGGTTATATATTATTAAAAAATAAATCCAGATCTTTTATGAATTTTACTGATGTCTGTTCTCAATCTATTCACTATTGTTGTCTTCCTCGTAAAAAGAGGATATTAGGTTATTAGACTAGGCAGGTCAGTCTTTTCAGTTGCACTGGTGAATTGCGCCTTTTCTAACTTTTAATTTACTCTTAAAAACTTGGGAATGAATAGTATTTGTGACAACATATTTACTTGCCATCACATGGAGATTAATGTTTACTGTATAATAATATTATTATTCAGTTTAACTTCCACTTTCAAAGAGTCCAGGAATCTATGCGCATATTTAAAACGTAAAAAAAGTAATGAATATGAATGATGCAAGTGATTGTATGAAAGATTTTTAGTTTACACGTCACTTCGTATTTTCCGTCTACCACATATAATGAATCTGACGTGAAGATTTAAAAAAAAAATTGTAAGTGTATCATAATTGTCAATAGTGTATATTTGTTAAAAATGTGCTCACTATCTTAACATATTTATAACATTTCTCATTCGAAACGATCAGTGGTAGTTGATAATAAACACCTACTGCCATATGTCCAGGACTCTAGGATGGAGGTGGGTTTATTTATACCTTTATTAATTTTCTTCAGTGATAGGTGCAAGAATCAACGAATACAGAGACACGAGTGGGCTTCGGGGTTGGAAAAATTCATGACTGAAAACAAAGGCTGGGGTGTACGGACGAAGCACAAGATTACATCTGGAGACTTCATATTGGAGTATGTGGGTGAAGTTGTCTCTGATAAGGAATTTAAGGTAAGGCTTATAAAAGTCATTTGCAATAGTGACCTGTCCTTAAAGATGATTAAGTTAGATAGGCAGTTAATGAAAAAGTAAACGAAAGTAAAAAATGAGTATTATATATGGGTATTTGTTACAATTACAATTTTTTATGTTTTCTTAACGATACATCGAGCTTTTGTTTTTAATGGATGATAGAGGAAGGCAATTGTTATCGGCATACACTGGCTGGGCACCAGTAAGGGATGATAGGTGAGAATGAAGATAGGTCAGCTAGCTCGTCGTGATGAATTCCACAAGAATTAACCGCGATGGCTTCCAGGTGAAACTACCTGATAGGACATATTCCTAGTAATTAGGCTGTTAAACCCCACTACTAACAATTCCTTTGCCTCCTGTATATCGGGCTTGTAATATACATTGATATTAAGTTTTATAGTTGTGTTTTAGTAGTAAATAAAAATAATAAATATAATGTCCTATTTTCTGCGATTCCGTGGATAGGAGCGCATGGCGACTCGTTATGCGCGAGACACGCACCACTACTGCTTGCACCTCGATGGCGGGCTCGTCATCGACGGACACCGCGTCGGCGGCGACGGACGCTTCGTCAACCACTCCTGTCGGCCTAACTGCGAGATGCAGAAGTGGACCTCCAATGGTTAGTAGACTCTTATTTTTATGTACAAAAATGTTCAAAACCGCTCAACCGATTTTAAAGACATTTTGTAAATGTGTAGTGTGAGGGGAAAAAGTGTATGGTTGAAATAGAAGATGACTATATCCGGTAGTATTTCTATCGAAACGATTCTAACGATATTCGTTTTCTGTGTCTCCTATAGCTAATACACAAACATATAAGTAAAAAATTATAACCAAAATTTTAATTAATGAATAAAGCTGATGGTTTCATTAATTGTGTGTGTGTGAGTGATAGTATGTCTTAATTTAAACATATCTGTTTTAATATATTCTTGTATTTAATTATAGGCACATTCCGGATGGCATTATTCGCTCTTCGCGATATAGAGCCTGGCGAAGAGTTAACTTATGACTACAACTTCTCTTTGTTCAATCCTGCTGTTGGTCAGGTAAGATATTAAATATTATTATAAGTAGTAGATATCCTATTAATGGATTTCGTACACGGTTCTTTTTTACTACTCAATCTATTGAGTAATAGAAAACCTAATGTGAAGAAATAATCTGCTGTAAATGGTTCTTTGAGACCCACATTATACCTATTGTAAAATATCACTACTTTTTTAAAACGCTTTTATTAACTTAATTTGTAACCTAGTAGCTTAATTTGTAGTGTGGAGTGTGTGTGTGAGTAGTGTGTTTTATGATGAACCCAAATGGTTGTAGTATAAATTGTGAACCAGTTTTGGTCACATTTTGTTAACGTAAATCTTGATCATTATAAATAAATAGTGTCCATAATAATTTTTAACTACATACATATTTCTTATTGTCCATTCTTCTATTTCTATTTTAACTCCTAATTTGAAATATTTGTTATTCTTTATAATTAATTGGTAATTGTTTTTAGCCATGTAAGTGCGATTCGGAGGATTGTCGTGGTGTCATCGGCGGAAAATCACAACGAATAACGAAACAGCCTCTGAAGACGCAGTCGCGCACTCCGTCGAATACGTCTACACAGTCGCACAGCTCGGGCGGGAATCCGCCGCGGGTCGGCCGACCGCGCAAGGCTGCCAAGTGCAACAAGAAGTCAGACCAGCAGACTGTCACCGCGTGCGATATCAAGAACATGACTATACTTAAATACCAACAGCACTTGAACAAGTTGTGGCAGGAGCCACAAATGAAACCCCTCACCGCTAAAGAAAGGAATTTGGTGAAGGAAAGACATTGCTTTTTGTTCAGGAATCTGGAGAATGTAAGAAATTTGTTTTTTCTATGAATAATTTATTGGGATAAAATTAGATTAGATAATTTTTGTAAATATTTAAACATTTTGTTTTGTGATTGTACATAAAATATTTTTAGGCTACGAAATGTATGTCGCTTAAAGTCATTAATTGCGTCTTTTTGTCATTTTTATTCAAATAAAGTATAATGGTCAAAAGAAGACTACAACAGTTAAAATAGGTTTATTGCTTTTCTACGAAAAAGGATGTAAATACACAGACTGATAAAAAAGTAATGTGTTTTTTCTGAACGCATGTTTTGCAGGTGCGACGAATACGCGACCGCCTTTCGATAGGGCTGCCTCCGTCGCCACCAGCAGCGCCTGCGCCGGCCCCGAGCCCGAGCCCGAGCCCGGCGGTGGCGGCGGTGGCGGCGGTGGCGGCGGTGGCGGCGGTGGCGGCGGTGGCGCCGCCCGCTACTGTTATCGTGAATCCGCTGCGGGTGCCCAGCGGCGGGTCGCAGGCGGCGCTCATATCGCGGCTGCAGGCGCTGCGGGAGGCTCGCGCGGCGCGGTGCTCGCCGGCGCCCGCGCCCGCCGCGCTCGCGGCACTGGCAGCCCTGCCGCCGCAGCAGCGAAGAAGCAAGCTCTTACTCGCCCTCTATAATTCTTTCGTTACCACAAAAGGTCACTAACCGTTGTGTATTTTATTATTATTATACAAATTATTTAAGCTCATCTCTGTGTACCATATATAAAATTTTGCATATTTTATTTATCCCTTTATTATTTTGTATGTATAAATTTAATATATGTTTCTCTATTAATTTATTTGTTTGTTAACATAACGTTTCGAAATGATTTAAAATGATTTATGACAGCTTATCATTCTTACATCCCTAAATATAAGTAATGTAAAAGCGCTTCTTAAATTTTGATTGTTATTACTTTTAGATGACAAGGACAAGCCTCTATGCGCATCTCTCCTCAAATCTAAGATGGATCGTAGCAAATCACAGGAAGATTCTACGGCACCGGATCTACAAACCATTGAGAGCAATATCTTGGTGGAATTGTACGATTCCATGGCGCAGTTCGACGCTGATATGAATGCTGCGTTGACAGCCGCTGCCGTGTCTCCCTCTGCCGCCACGCAGCTCAAAAAGGTGCGCTTCTGAATAGTATACAAAAAATTATACAATCTATTCCAGAATATATTTATTTAAGTAGTGGCGTAAAATAGTTTTCAGAATTCCAATATCTGTTTGTCTTCATATTGGATAGGCAAAGCAAATCAATAGCCAAATAATGTTTAAATATATTATATACATCTCGTTTCATCTACTATCATAACTTGTGTCATACATACATGTCATAGATTCTTGATTTCTGTTTGAAAATTTCTTTTTATTTGAACTTAGTATGTTTTATCCCTGTATAATAACAGTATTTTTATAACATGAAATTTTTTTTCAGATGTATAATTCAATTAAATTGGATTATGCAGATCGGTTAACTAAAGTGCTTGGTCCAGACGAACCTTTGCCACCTGGGTTCCTACAAAAAACAAAGACTGGTGAGTTAATTACAATAAAAAAAAAATACATTAAATGCGGCTATGAATCTACGACAATATTATTTTCGTATAAATTGTTAAATTAACAAGAGGATGTAATAAATTTTTTGTAAATGATATACGTGAAAATGCGCTAGGTATGTAAGAATTTCATTATCTTTGTAATAACTTTACATTTGATAATCTTGCTGTACGGGCCTTTCGTGAATCTCACACAGCGCACAATCTATGCGAGTACTCAGCGAAAAGCTGTCGGTTAGGTGTGCATTTCGTGGAATGCCGTAATCATTTCGTCTAAAATCGCTGACGTTGTTTTTACTGATAATGTTTTTAAACAACTTAGAATGTCAAATAAGTTGATGACCCACTTGATGAACAATGATAATTGTAGCTTTTAGAATATATTATTCATTTTTCATATGTGTGTCTCCACTTAGAGAATATATTATTATATATAACTAGCTGTTGCCCGCGACTTCGTCCGCGTTTCCGTCGTTTTTCGTAAAATAAGTAGCCTATGTCCTTCCTCACTGTTCAGTGGTTTTGATGTAACAGACACATTTCCCTTCACTGCTCTGCTCCTATTTATCGTAGTGTGATGACAAGTATACTATAACCTGCCCAGGAGTATGAAGAATAATTGTACCAAGTTTCGTTAAAATCTATCGAGTAGTTTTTGTTTCTATAACGAACATACAGGCAGACAGACAAAAATTTTATGGATTGCATTTTTGGTATCAGTATCGATCATTAATCACCCCTTAATAGTTATTTTGGGAATATATTTCATGTACAGAATTGATCTCTCTACAAATTTATTATAAGTATAGAATAGATTTCTTTTCGGATGGATGTGGTGTTTTAAATAATCAATAATAGTACACTACAAAATGTTTATACGCATAATTATCCAACTAACCATGGACCGCTTCTTTTTGTTTCACTGAAAAACTCCTCTGACATCTTACTGTTTGCGACCATTTAGGTTCTACCGTGTGAAGGTAAATTCTGTATTGGTGGTGAGTGGTGTGATGATTAAAGTGGCTGTGGGCATCATTTCTAACATTTTCTTTATACAAACGATATACGTACGTGAATGTATACTTGATGGTACGATGCAATGTGCAGAGGAAGTGATCCTGTGCATCTGCGGGCTGCACGTGGAGGAGGGGCTGATGGTGCAGTGCGGCGGCGGCTGCGGCGCCTGGCAGCACGCGCGCTGCATGCGGCTGGCCGACCCCGCCGCGCCGCACTACTGCCACCACTGCGCGCCCGCCGCCTCGCCGCCCGACCGCGAGATCCCGCTCGACGACTACACCGAGGACGGCCACCGCTTCTACCTCTCGCTCATGCGCGGCGACCTACAGGCGAGTCACTATATTATCGCTCACACGCGGCTACTGGCAAGTATGCTTCACTGGCGAGCCGCAGGTGCGGTCTATTCGTTCTGTCGCTTACATACAAATACATATGAAATGGTAACCTCACTTGTGCTAACGGTATATGCTAGTGGGGCACCAGTGAGAGGTATCAGTCAGATAGCCCATCGTGATGAATTTATTTGAAATTGACAAGATAAACTAAGTAACTTGTAAGCTAAACTAAGCTACTAATCTTCATTTCTAGCAATCTTTTCTTCTCTGGAAGGGAAGTTTGTCCCTTATAAAGTGGTCGGGTCTATATGTAACTTCAGACATGTCTTTTTGCTGAAAACTCTGCTTGTATTCTGAATATTTGCAAATATTTAATTATATCTGTTTCATCCTGTCAACCATGTAAGCCACATCATTATTTTCACATATTATTACGGCCCACCTGATGAAAAGTGGTAACATTCGCCTAAAGACATGAACAGTATCATGAGTATAATAGAGTAAACTGTGTCGCTCATTCAAGGTGTTATGCCTCTGTACCCTGTAATTTAATTTCACCTTTTAAACCGATTATGTGAAGACCTGCAAACTATGTTGGTGTAACTATTTTCTATTAATTTTATTATTTCTAGTAATCTTATAAATATAGTAGAGACCTCCTAGAAACCTAGAAGAAATTATTTTCATTTTTCGCTTTGCAGGTGCGACAAGGCGATACCGTGTATGTTTTACGAGACATACCCATCGATGAAAAACGTCCAGATGTTAGCGCCAAAAGTGGAGAGAAAACTGACTCGCCAAAAACAAAACGTCAAGATAGGAAAAAGGTGAAGAATATCGCTAAGGGGAAAAATAAGAATAATGATCCTGCACAAAATAATAAGGTATATTATATTTTACTACAATTATAAATTAAACATCTCATCTTTATAAGTGATAATTTACTTTGATGGATTTTTATACTATACTAACTAGTATCGTTCTGTTACGACGAATTTGAACAAGGATACTAGGAGATAACTCCTAGTATAAAACTAAATTTCAGAGATCAGAGAGTAAAATTAGTAGGATAGTTGGTATTATAAGTTTAGCACATTATTGAACTTTCGTGATTGCTATACATAGACTAAGGGTACACGATTTTAGTTTTATTTTAATACTACCTTTTACCCGCGACTTCGTCTACGTGACCAGTATATGTTACGATCTTCATGTACTGACGGGATTAAAAAATGACTATATCTTTTTGTGTCCCATAGAGTATGGTATAACAATTTCATAGTGATTGGTTAAGGTGTTAATGTGCTATAAGACAACGAACTCACTTTCGCATTTATAATATTCGTAGGGATTTAGCATTTATAGTACTATATATTATTATAATAATGTTTCTTTGCTAAATCTAAAATTAGTAAAGTCCATATATTGTTCCTTCTTTGGAATATTTAAGACTAGATTCTTTTACCTACATTGGTATTTTTGTAGGAGGGTGAGGTCCGAAAACATACGTATCAAACAATTGGCGAGATCCCAGTATCGGAGCTGGATATCTTCCGTGTGGAGCGTTTGTGGAAGCACAAGGATACCCAAGAGAGATTTGTCTATGGGCATCACTACCTGCGACCACACGAAACTTTCCATGAACCAACTAGGAAGTAAGTATATCAAGATTCCAATAATTTATATGTTTAGTATTTCAATATTATAGTGTTTTTAGCAAAATTAAATCGATTTAGGTGGATAGAGAATAAATATTCATTTTTTTTTAATACTTGGAGTACAGTTTCAGCCAAGAGAGCCATATTAATATTAAGACTTTTTTTTTTTAAATTGTATAAATCATAAGTCAAATGCTTCTTTTAATTTTTACTACCAGTTTAGTCAGTGGTTAAAACTGAGAAAAATTAAGAAGAAAAACTATTCAAAAAGAGTATAAGAACCTGGCAAGTCAAAAAATACTAAATTTTATTATATTTTATTCTATAGGTTCTTCCATAATGAAGTGATGCGTGTCCCGCTATACGAGGCTGTGCCCATAGAGCTAGTAATGTCACAATGTTGGGTCATGGATTTAAATACATATTGCAAGGTAAACATTGATATTAAATTATATACAATTAAGTAGTCCATATAAAGTGTTCACTTAGTCTTCTTACACTCTTTGCATACTGATAAGTTAAATATTGTTACTTTTTATTACACATTGACTGTCGTCATTTGATGAGAGTAATTAGTTATGTTTAACTTGGGTGAATTGTATGAAGTCTTGTGGAACTAGTAATGATGATAATCATAATGATGATAATGATAGGGTCGCCCCGTGGGCGCGGAGGAAGAACACGTGTACATCTGCGAGCTGCGCGTAGACCGCACAGCGCGCCTCTTCACCAAGATTTCGCGGCCCAACTACCCCATCTGTACCAAAGCGTACGCCTTCGACCACTTCCCGCAGCGGCTCAAGATTACCAGGACCTATGCTGTATGTATTTGTATTATTATAAAATTATTAATAGATGAATATAGAGTTGATCTTTTTCTACCCCATGTGGGACCAGACTTATAGAATAAATGATTAAGAGAAAAAAAAAAACAAATTGCAATGTGACTATTTACTGAATTTAATTGTAATGAATTGCACTATATAATTAAACTTGAACACCAAGTATACTTAACAGGTATAACAGACTCATGAAATTGAATACTTTACCCAATGAACATGGGTAAAAATACAAATGTAAAATGCATTAACAATGTAATTTACAAGTGCAATAAAGAATATATAAATTTTATCCTATAATTAACGTAAATAACCAATTGCAGGTATAATTTTTACATTTTATTTTATCTTTATTGCATTTTGTATAAATGGTGAGTTTAATGTCGTATATCATACTCTACCTTTAAAGGGAAGTGGTGTCCAACATACATAAAAAAATCAAATTTTTATTACTTTATTTATACTTTAAATATGGTATTATAATATTTTCAGCCCCATGAAGTATCACCGGAGTATTTAAAAGGCAGAGCATCTAAGAGCGCCGCGCCTACTGAAAAGACTAACAAAAATTCGAATAGCAAAGATACTAAAAAGAAACCATCTGTCGCACATCCAGATACTTCCAAGGTAATATTTTTATTTTTAATTATGTATTCATATGGATAATGTGCTCTTCTGTGTTTACTGTAGTATGGCACGAAACCCATGTTGTAGACGTCTAAGATATAATCGTAAAGTGAAAATATTTTAAATTATGCAATTTTTTATATTTGAGCTTTTGACTTGAAATTTTTCTCCTTTTGCTATTTTTAATAATATTAAGTAATATTTATTTATTGACCCCATAATTCATTGTGAAATCTGTATGAGAATTCTTGTATTATTGGTATGAAGTCCTTAAGAAACAGTCATTAATATTAAATTACAAATAATGTGAAATATCTATATTAAGTTGGCATTCATAGTAGTCGTGTAAATGCATGTCTCTTGGAATACAGAAATTGTTTTTATTATATAGCAGTGTAGCGTATCGGCCCCTGCGGCACCCGTGGCCCCCGCGGCACCCGCGGCGACGGCTCGCGCCCGCCGCGAGCAGCAGAAGGAGCGCGTGAACAGCATCGCGCGGCGGCTGCTGGCGCGGGGCGGCTCGCGCCTGCCGCTGGACGCCTCGTACCTGCTGGCGCCCCGGCGGCCGCGAGCCCGCGTCTCCTGACCCGCCTGCGTCTGCTGCCCGCCCCGCCGGCCCTTCTAGGTGCTCCTGCTGCCACCTCCCCTTACCCCTGTGGCCGTCCTAAGTGGTCTCCCCCTCCCTCCCCAGTGATATTTATTACTTCTGGCTGACTCTGGCTACCTCTATGCCCCTGCTAGTCCTACTTAGTACCACTCTGGGATTCTGTACCCGCTCCCTTGTCGCAATTAGCCCAGTTAGTTACTTGGCTCCGTTAAACGGCCCTATTAACCCAGTGATCCCCAGTCGGTATCACTCCCACCAGTGCAATGTGTGTACAGTAACAAAATTATTTATAAACGAGGTCTAAATTCGGTATGTACATACATTTGATAGTTTTAGGGGACATACCAATCGTTATCGATTGACGTCCTTTTACATAATATTGTATATTTATATTCTATTTCCGGCAACTTGTTATATTAAGAAGATGGTTGTTAAACTATTGAATTTTAATAGATTCCATCATTCTTTTATAGAGCATATTTCTATTAGTGATGTTATTGGTAGAAGTCTGAATTATATGAAATTGCATAACCCGTCGATACTGGATTATATCAATTACGTGTTAATCATATATATTTCGACTTTACTAATGACCTAATAAAAATTTACTCTTTAAAAGAGCAGTATAATAGTAGGGACTTCTCTCTGGTCTCGAGATATTGTTACTATTATGTTGAAATACAACATAAAATAATATAATAATAATTAATATTGTGTTTAAATATAGAATTACACATATCTTTAACGTAATCCTGTCTAAATAATATAATATAAAGTTGATTTAAAGTATTGTTTTTTTTTTATGAAAATTCAATAGGAAGTATTATCCTAATATGAATTCATTAAAATTAACAACATAATCGTAACAATACCCAAAGATAAAAGTATTCTTATCCCTCATGCAATATTCTGATGACTCCAAATTTGCGGCAACTATATTGATCATAATAAAATCATAACAGTGTCTCGATGTGATATTCAAAGTATTATCATACTGAGTTATTATAATTTTTGTATATAATATTAAAAATACTATAATTGCTTGCCTCTTATAAAGTCAATCGCAAAGTAATTATCAATGTAAATTATTTTACATGACTGATTGTGCAATTGTTCACGTTATATTACATTCAATATAAATAACATACTATATATACATACACATTCCTCTAGACTTTGTTTGTGACAATAAAGTAATAGGCAGGCCCTGACCAGGTCACGGTCGGTTGAGTAAAGTTTGTCCAGATGGAATCTCTTGTATCTTTTGTATATAAATCTTCATGACATTGATTTAATATTATTAAATAGGATATAAAATACGTATGTATTGTATAAGTCAACTTGAATAGTATTTTTATAATATTTAAAAACTGTAATTATTCCAGTTCTTTTTTTTTATTCTACTATTTTAGTATGTATTGATTTAAAAAAATCGGTCTAACCGAAACTTAAAAATTGTATCTACAATTTAATCTCAGTGTATTTTAGTCAGTTAAGTATTCACTTTTGTATGCTTGAAGCTGCATAATATATTTAGGGTGCAGCATAATCATGTTATTCTAATGTAGTATATAAATAGTTATATTTTTACATAAGACATGTGAATATTTGTTATTAAACAGTGTATTGTATGTAGACTAATTGAATTATTAGTTGACGACCACTGGTGCGAACTGCTGTTGAATGTTGAAGAGTTTTAATAGAGGTTTACAGAGAGGAGTTGTTTGGGAGGTTGTTACTGTAATATTTAGTGGTTAGTTATTATTATTACTCTTTTATTTATAATATTCCACTAGGATTAGTACCATGGAATAAAATTTACTTTCGAGCTCTGGTCATATATAAAATACACTAGATGTGTAGGACTTTTGTCGTGCACTGAAATCTCTCTAATTTTTTTATACTTAAGTTTATCTTGTACATAACTTAGTGTATAAGGTGGTTGGTTGTTTTTTATTATAAATCGAATGATAATATATTGCTTACTGTATGGATGTTCGGTTATCCTCATCGAAGTTTCTCTGCTTTGTTTATCTTAGTCATTGTGCGCCACGCAAACTTCTCTTGCTGCTAGCCTTGATTATTATTGTGATTACAGAGAACAAAGTTGTTTTTGTTTCTAATTTATTTGTAAATTACTGTTAATATTTACAATATTTTCTTACCATAATTTTTCTATACTTTTGTAGCATTAAGAGACTTAACAATTTCCATAATGCTTTTACACTTGCACGCTTTTTATGTTATAATCGACTGTGAGGTCGAAATAATTAAGGAAATTGATCCCAAAATCTAGTACAAAGCCCCACCACCTAATATTTGTCTAATCACTTCCCAGAATAAAAAAAAATGAAATAGTTCGAAATAGGGTCAACTACGGATACTCTAATGTTTACATTATAGGTAGTTAGACAGTTTATTATAGCTAGATGAATTAGAGTGCACACTTAGTTCTTGGAAATATTGTTAACAGTAAAAATATCGTGACAACAGAGAGATTTAATCTATTTATCACTGATCAATGTTATTTTTGCTCCTACATGCACATTCAAATGTAATAGACATTGCCTTGTAGAAAATGAATATTCATAATACCGCAACATCTATATCTACAACATAAAATAGTGGAGAAAAAAAAAATGCATTCATGTACTTAATTAGAAAAAAAAATAGTTACAATAGCCAATAATTATAATAGTTTAAGATGTCACATTCTTGTTTGCTTTTTGTGTGATTTTAGTACCTACTTTAATAATAAGTTGTTATATAAAACACAGTTAAGTACACATAGTACTATAGATATTTTGGGATCAAAAAGTATTAATCGATTGGCCATCAAAATTATTTTATCCTGTAAGGTTTAATCTACTTGAATCTTTCGTAGTGACAGGGTGAACGTGCTGTGCCTTGTTCTTTATAATGGTATGCCAATTTTACATTTGGAAATTTTCCCGAGTGTGAATTCTTATTGAACTATTTTATTGAAATCGTTTATATTTTTAGAAGGACTGAAGAAGGCTATCATTTAGAGGGTTCAAGTTGATTTCACCATGTCTTTTGAAATACCTGTTACGATGTATTAATCGGTATATGAGCAGCTTTATTATTTATATGTATTTAAGATGCCATTTGTTGTAACTCATGTTTTAATATTAAAATTAAAAATTTTGGATCAATGTGTGTTTTATTTTTCCAAAATAATATATTTAAGTAATGTAATGTTAGAGTAATATTATCTAATAGGGAATATAATTTTTAACTCAATATGCGATTACTTTATACTACGTTTACTGATGGTGCATGAATGTATTTGCTGAATTAAAAACCTATAGTACTCAATAAGAATAAATCATGCCCATGTTTGTGTAATATTTAAATGCCAAGACTACTTTTACGAAAAATTAAAATAGTCGGTTTTCCAGAATAAGTATGGAGGTGGCATGCTTCAATCTTCGTGTACGCCATTGGCAGCTTATTCTTTATATTATTTAGGGGCTCTCTTTAGGATATTAAATGCTGAAACAACCACCTCTACCCATTGGATATATTTTTTAAGATATGATTTAAAAAATAATTCTTTTTTTTCTCTAAAACCATACCAACCATGAAGACAATTCTAGAAAAAAAAAAATAGAGGGCACAAAAGGGGAAGACAGGAATAACAACATGAGACAGGAAACACTAGGTGTCCTTGTATAGGGAGGTCCAAGATAGGATATTTTTATTTAATGGGTGAAAATGGATTGGTAACCCTGCCCGCGCTATTGGTATACACCGACGAGGCACCAGTGGAAGATGATAGGTGAGAATGAATGCAGGTTAGTTGGCTCACCATAATGAATTCGACAATAAATAAACATGATGGTTTCCAGGGGGAACCGCGTGGAGGTCAACCTGAGAGGGTATATTGCCAGTAATGGGGCTATTAGACCTCATTACTAACAATCCCTTTTCCCCCAAAGATAGGATATTTGGACAGTATAGCTAGGACAAAAATATATTAAAATAAAAATATACAGATGTACAAATAAAAGTAGTTGTTAAGAGTTCAGTCGTAAAATACTTTATTCCTTGTTCATAGATCGGGAAAGATCTAAATACTATTTGTTCCTTTACCTAGGATTTTATAATAGGTATTTATGAGCAGTGGACGTGGCTGCACCGTCTGTTAAGCTCAGTATCAGACCGCATGCCGAATTCACACTACGACATCAGCTAATGCTTATGTCAAAATTCATAGGACATAAAAATAGTTCTTGACTGTCTATTTATATTGTAATTATACTATACAACAAAAGATCTGGTCAATGAATACAATCCAAAACCCAGAACAAAGCTAATTTGAAAAAAAAATCGCACAAAATAACCCTGTAAGATTTGGCCACCTATTTTATTTACGTAGAACGATACTAGATACTAATATTAGAAAAGTGACAGTTTGTAAACATGTTTAGATATTTGATAAGCAAAGCTGCCGAAATTACTAAGTGGATTTTTAAAACATCTTTATTGTGTACAAAAGAGATGATACATAGAAAATTCAAGAATGGCGCAGTTATGAAAGGCGACCTTTTCGCTATAAGCAATCTCTTATAGACGACCTGCAACAAATCATTTATGTAGATATTAAATTTCATTAACAGTTTTAAATTTGGTATAAATGCATTTTAATATAAGAATTCGTATTTCTGTTACTTGGATTTACCAATGTCCGTAGAATTTACACGGGAAAAGCTGTGGGTGGGATAGAGGTAATAGAAATCGTTAATTAAGTGACGGACGTCACTGTCGCGGACGTGATAAAGTGCACGACTCAGTATCATTGGTTAGTGCCGATTTTCCAAGGTGTACTTTTTTTTTAAATTGATGACAATAGGTTAGAAACTTCGCCTGCACTACGGTATACGCTGGCGCTGCACCAGTGAGGGATGATAGATAAAGATGAAAACAGATAAGTTCGCCCATCATAACGAGTTCAACAAGAATTAACCACAACGGTTTCCAGGGGGAACCGCGTGGTGGTCGACTTCACTATTATTAGAAATATTAGGAATAAGTTAGGTACGTATTCCTAATATTTCCCACTAGGAGATTAATAAGGAGATTAAAGTGTAAAAAAATAGTGGCCCTATTGCTAGCAAGCCATGTCAGATAGACCTCCACGCGGTTCCCCCTGGACGACCCGGTGGATGACCTGACAGGGTATATTGTTACCTATGGGACTGGTAATCCGCATTACTAACAACATATTGCCGTGTGGTCCCGGCATAGAATACGCCTTTCTTTCCGTTGGGTGTCGTAAGAGGCAACTAAGGAAGGACGAGAGATGGGCAGCAGCGTCCCTCTTAAAACATCTTCAATGCCTAACTGCAGTTGCCAATCCGCTTGCCAAATGTGGCAACTACTGGCAAAACACCCCAAAGGCTTATGTTCAGCAGTGGACAGTTAAAGGCTGATATAATGATGATGATTACTGATAATCCCTTCCTGAATCAACTCTGTTCTGTTTCACCTACTATTTATTTATTTTCTGGTCCTTTCTGATTGTAGTTTCAACACAGTAATATGCCAACCTATTCGTTGTGCTTAACATTTATTGACCATAGGCCATATATTTAGTTAATACAATAAACGTTCCACGTTACTTGCGAGCGGAAGCAGTTCATTTCCCGTAAGTAATCAGCGCGTCAAGTTACTTGTGTCTATATTCTTTCTAATACATATAAAAGTACGCTATCATTTTGACATCGTAAAATTCCGCGCGTAATGTGGGTAAAACAAACATTGCTATTTAAACAATAATTTACACAGTGCAATATTTATAAGATTGTAGAGAATATTAATATATTAAAAATATTACACATATGATAAAAACACTAAATATTGTCTCTATTTTACTAGACAAACTCTACGGCTTAGATTATTTTTTCAATAGGTGTATAATTTTTGCAAGATTCCAAGATAAAAATTTTGTAGAATATTGTAATAAATATAGATCACAATCTTCTACGAAATTTTTAATCTATGCAAAGTTACAGAATAATCTATTATTTATTTCTACTAAATCCAGAAAACTAATAATTAAACTGTAGTAAAATATTAATCCACTTTATCATTTGTAGAACATATATATGAATTTTGAGATAAGTACTTACTAAAACTGTTGCTACTGGCAAAACTCCCCTTATGGAGTAGGTTTAAGTCCAGCAGTGGACAGTTAATGGCTAGAATAATAATTACTGATTAAAAAGCTGCCTTACAAATTTCCTCAAAATGGACACGTTTGCTCATAGGTATCGCAGTGTATTGTGTGATCTTAAAAATGTTATTGAATGATAATGCAATTGTAATCCTGGTTTTGTTATCGATATAACTACACTGACGTGCACCAATGAGGAATGATTGGTAAGTATGAAGTCAGGTCTTTGACCCATAGTAACGAATCCAATAGAAATTAACCACGATGGTTTCTAGGAGGTCAACCCTATATTAATAGCAATGGGGCTATTAGTCCTCGTTAGTAACAATCCTTCCCTTCTTATAATTTACGGTTAATATTTTCCACTGGTGGGTCGCCAACTCGTTTGCTGTTTTAGGTCCCATAAAAAAGTAATATTTGCTGAAATACAACTTTAGTGAAAGTTTCATATTTTGACTGTATTTTTTTTATGCAACTTAAAATGGCAAACAAGCTGACTTTATTATTAGTTGGAAGTCCTTTTTGTAAATCATCGTAATATATGTAATATATTTATTTGTGTGTATATTACATTTTATTTACACATTCAATACAAAAACATGTAGTTGAAACACGTTAGTACAGAAGCCATTTTAGGTATGACTAATGTAGATCATAACAATGAAATTATTTCATAAAGTGAAATGATTTAGGGTCGACAAGTCAGCAGGACGTGCAATCCTGTTATTGAGCCAGTCGAGAGAGGCGATCGTAGCGCACTGCCCCTTCACTACATAAAATAAATAAATATCACCAAAAATATAAATAAGTTATAAAAATTTGTAACTCCTTAGTAAAGTCTATCGGCTAATTGTGCAGTGTTCACTGTTTCTCCTATCGAGGCATGAAAACAGTCGCGGCGCAATCTTGTGATCATCTACTTGCAAGCCTGCCAGTTTACGTTCAGCACCCATCGTGGTACAATTATGCACATGTAAGTATATGACATGTACAAATTAATGCTATTCGACTCAAGCGTCCAATCGGCAGAGAACAGGGGCTGCCTACTTGGAGGCTAACCACATACATACCCATCTTACTAGCAGTCCCCGGCCGTGCATTCTTAAATTAAGCTCCCCCATAACTGTATTGCGCCCCAATTAACACAGTGCATCCATCAGAAAAGGCATAGACACGAGTGACAGGATTATCACCCGTATCTAATAGCGAGGACGGAATGCTTAAACAAAGCACCTTTAACACACAGAAAAAAAACCAGCACTACTTCTTATAATACTTGTTGTTTGTTTTTATGGTTCCAATAAATACATTTATTTATTGTTTCTAAATTGATTTATTGACATTTGTGTTAGGAGAAAGTTTTGATTCATAATTTGGTTTTGTTTTATAATTCATATAAGGTTTGTAGTAAGAAACAACGTTATATTCAGTGTCAAGATGGTATTTTTTGTGTTCTTTCTAGTTATTATTTAATTATCCATACGAATAACCTGAGTATAATAATGATCATTGTCTATTAAAATATACCCTTAGAATATATCTACCTAATGATAGGTGATCGATTACCAAATGAAACGCTGTAACTATGTTATATAGTTGCATCATACTGTATTATGCTCGAAAGATTTGTGATATATGCGGTTATAGGTACTAGTAGCATAAAACTTTTCTGTGATTTGATATTTCAAAACTTTCAGTCTCAAAGATATGTTAACTAGAGGAAATCTCTGAATTAAACGCAATGGTGGATTTACCAACAAGTTGAGTAAATTGGAACGGTGGATTATAGGGTGGCAAATCTGGGGCATTTTTCAGAAATCTATAAAAAAGTATAATTAAGAATTAGTAAGAGTGTATTTTGAATAGCCTACTGGCAGCAAATGTATATATAATCCCCCACTGCTTAAAAGAAATAACACCTTAATACCTACTCAGAACCTGTAACGCGTGAGGCGTAAACTATGGGCACAGTCGAAA